GTAATGCCCATTGGGCATTAGTGGGCATTGGTGTACAAGATTTTGGTCAGCGGTTTCCCCCTCGGGGTGATTTTAGCCTCAAAGATCAGCCACGCTCCGGTCGGCCTTCTGACATTTATGACGACATTGTGCGCAATTTAGTGGATACTTCACGAATTTCAACATAAGAAGTTGCTGAGAGACTAAACGTTAATAGATCAACTGCCATTTAAAAAACTTGGATACACTTTAACCCTAGAACCCGACACGTCGAAAAGTTACGTAAACTCTACACATGGGTAAATTTTACCCAGCGCATTTTCATTTGCTATAATAATAACTCTCGGAAAAATGGTCGAAAGTCAATGTTTTTTTTAAATCGGCGTAGAAAACATCGAGGAAGATAATTATGCTAACAGTTTTGCGGTTAAATAAAGTTGAAGAAAATTATAATCAAAAACAAAACACATGTTTCTTCAAAATTTGCTTTTCTCTAAAAAATTAATAACTTTTTAACTATAACAGATAAAGCAATGAGGCAAACGCGATTTTAAAGAAGAAGGTTAATTCTTTGAGAAAATCTAGGAGCAGATCTCTGGTTATTAAAAAAACTATATTTTTTACAAAAGGAAAATAGGTCTGTTCGAACAAGATATGGATGGGACTTTTTATGGGTTTATTTACTTAATAACTCTATTTTCCCTTTCAAAATTATTTTATTATAAGAAAATGTATTATTATGTATTATTTGTTATTTATAAATAATTTCACTTCTATTGCATAATATATGTTATATATAATAAATGTACTTATTTAATACAATTATAACCTCCAAAGCACATTTATCATACATCAGCAACCAAGTTTTCAATAAAAACTAGAAAGAAAGTAAATCTTATTACAAACAAGAAAAAATTAAAAATGAATTTTCCAACGTAAACCCTAAACATGGGTAAAATTTACCCGAGCGAAATTTTGCTGTCTTCCCTGTCGAAAACGGTCAGGTGAGAAAACAGCTGAGTTATGCCTTCCAACAAAGGAATTAGTTAACTAATTTTGGCCCTAGTATAGTACTGCCAACTCCTCATATTTTCAGAGCGGTAACGTTCGAAAAGTTGGTCTGGGTAAATTTTACCCATGTGTCGGGTTCTAGGGTTAAAGCTTGATATTTGGGTGCTACATAATCTGACAGAAAGAATAAAATGGACCGAGTTTCTGTAGCTAATTCCTTGCTTGGCCGATTAAAATCCGATCCATTTTGGGGAAGCCTAGAACAAGTTTTTTACCCAAGAAAATCTTGAGAAATTAAATTTTTCAGAGTAGAATGCGAGAATAAAGTCATACTTAGATTTCAGATCGGATCGTAATAATTTTGTTCCCGGTTGTTTTAGTCGAGAAAACGATAAATTTAAAGCGGGAAGCCTGGAACAAGTTTCTTACCGAAAAAAATGGAAAAATACGATATTCCGATGAAGAGTAAAGTGAACCTTATTTTGTTGTCTGATATTGAAATTTTTGTTCTGAGGTGTTCTATATGGTTATTAATATATTCTAAATCGACAATGTTGTATGTTATTTGGTTTGTGAAGAAAAGGCCAAAAACGGTTTTTTTTACAAAATTTTTTTCCGATATCTTTTAAAATGTTTGACCAATCAAACTAATACTTTGGGACAATGTTTAGAACAACTAGAACAACCTGGAACAACCTTAAGAGGTTTGATTTTCGAAAAGTGGGGTGTCAGGTAGAAAAATCGTTTTTTTAAATTTCCCACGAAAATTTTCATGATATAAATTTGACCTTCTGGAACAATTTGGAACAAGTTTAGAACCTGGAACAGCTTTTAGAATTTTGAAATTTAAAAACTGCGGTGCTAACTTCACACAGGTATAGACATCCTGATGTAGGTATATGTATGTCAGCTTCGTCTAGATGGATGAATGTACTATATTTTGTTACGTAGATACTTAAAAATGTAATAAATAGTTCTAAAAAGTTTATACAGATATTCGTATATGTTAAATAATTTAAATGTGATAGGGTTGATATTTCTGAGGCAAAATATCTTTAAGTATTTCTTTATAAATATTTATTCTAATGAATACTTGGGATGTTTATTAATATATAATATTTAATGATACGTATTTAACAAGACGTGTGTGATATGCTATAACAGTTTAACCTTCAGTGATTTATGCCAATAACCTTTAATTTCTCCTCAGAAAGAAGATGTTGAATCTGAAGACGATGCAAAATTGGAGGTGGAGGACTTGGCAAAAACTCTACCTCAAGGAACTGACCATACCCCGCATATTTTAAGTTCCATTCTTTCCGGTCTTCCAGATCGGTAAAATATTACTCTTTATTTAAAGTAATTACTCTCTTTCAATTCTACACATAAATTTCTAACGTTACGATCTCTTGCAGTTGGCGAAATTGGATAATTAGAACTATTTTCACCTGGTTTATGATAGCTGGGTTTTGTCTCATTATTTATGGAGGTCCGTTGGCATTAATGATCACAGTAAGTTTGCTTCCAAACATTCATACAATTAAGGAATACGATGTATGTTTGTATTTATGCATATACGTAAAAGATTCACGTATTCATATATTTTTTTTACAGACATTGATTGTGCAAGTGAAATGCTTCGAAGAGATCATTAATATTGGATATGCCGTGTACAGGATTCATGGTTTACCGTGGTTCAGATCTTTGTCGTGGTATTTTTTGATAACGTCGAATTATTTTTTCTATGGAGAAAATTTAATGGACTATTTTGCAGTGGTGATTAATCGAACGGTAAGCGTCACCTTCTTCAATCTGAATCTTAAAATTTATAAAAGGAAAACTATTGATCTTCACGAGGTCGATTTATACGAGATAAATGCTCATATAAATTTTGCTACTTGTAATGTTTTCAGAAAGAGAAAAGACCATTTGTAAAAACGTCTATATCATCTATATCTTCAATAGTGTTAGCTTAAATCAATAACAAAGCCTTGTCTCAGTTTTGTTACGGCTTCATCATTCTGTGAGGCTTTCTTATTAAAGTTATTTAATATAGAAATAATATAGAGTAGAGAAAAAGAATATTAATAAGGGGACTATAGTGTGAACACTTACATTAGTACACATATTATACATATACATATACTTGTAATATGTATATTGCAAATAATACTTTTATTTGTCTTTAGGGCTATCTACGTGTACTTGTTACATACCATCGATTTATTTCATTTTGTCTTTACATCGTTGGCTTTGTATGGTTCGTACTATCGCTTGTGAAAAAATATTATATGAAGCAATTCTCCCTATTTGCTTGGACGCACGTCGCATTACTTATTGTTGTGACACAGAGCTATTTAATTATCCAAAATATATTCGAAGGATTAATATGGTATGTATATAATTATACAATGTATAAAATAAATATATACATGTATGTACTTAATTTGTCAATGGCCTAGTTTACATCGATCACTTGGTACGCGTATCAAATAGTAAATAACTAGTAAATCAGTTTAATCATTGGCTGATCAGCTCAAATACACTACTTGATACGCGTATCAAGTGCACGATGTAAACTAGGCCTATGTCGCCTATCTTTAGGTTCATCGTACCTGTCAGTATGATTGTCATAAACGATGTGATGGCATATATGTTTGGCTTCTTCTTTGGACGAACGCCATTAATAAAATTGTCCCCGAAGAAGACTTGGGAGGGCTTTATCGGTGGCGGTATTTCGACTGTCATACTTGGAGTATTGGTAACGTGCAAATTGTAGATATAAAAATAGAAATAAGATCAATTATGTTATTAATTGTACATGTGTGCTAATGTAGTAGTGTTGTCTAGATATCTTACGTTATGTGTCAGTACCGCTATTTCATCTGTCCGATTGAGTACAGCGAGACTCTTGGCAGAATGACTATGGATTGCGAACCATCAAGCTTGTTCCAACCACAAGAGTATACCTTGCCAAGCAGTCTTCAAGTAATGTCAAGAATGGTAACATAACTTTGTACATAAAATGTTTTAATCATATATTGTTTGGATATGGATACTCAATTATTTTTCAATATACGCGCAGTTAAATGGGAAATCTACCTTGACGGTATATCCATTTATGCTACATTCATTGTCGATGTCAATATTCAGCTCTGTAATTGGTCCATTTGGAGGATTTTTTGCTAGCGGATTCAAACGAGCGTTCAAGATTAAGGTAACTTAGTATTATGTTATTTAACTTATAAATTTGTATGTTATTTTATACAATTGTCATTTTCTTTTTTCGGTCTTGTAGGACTTTGGTGATGTAATTCCCGGCCATGGTGGAATAATGGATAGATTTGATTGTCAGTATTTAATGGCAACATTCGTGAATGTCTATATTTCTTCGTTTATTCAAACTGCATCGCCTCAAAAGCTATTACAACAGGTAAAATAACTGAGACAGTTGTTCATAGCTTAAGAAAGAGTTGACAATGTTTTTCTTTGCATTATGTAAAGTGATATGAGAAGAAATAATTCTTTATACCTTTTGATTTAGGTTTACAGTCTGAAACCAGAGCAACAGTTACAACTTTTCCAAAATCTAAGAGATTCGTTGGAACATAGGGGTATGCTAAATTAATATTAAAATTAATATTTTTTAAGTTAAAAATGTATTAACAGCAAAACTGCTGCAGGGATTATTTTTACCTATTAGAAAATATTAGAAAAGATTCCCCGATGTCTTTCCTAACATTTCAGCAAACATTATACACAGATGACAATGCAATCAGTATCAAATAATTGTAATGATTTGTTAAACTATGACGATAAAATTTATTTTGTAATTTGTAGGTATGTAAGGGTCATATCGTAACGCTATAGTACTGTCTAATTGAAGATTAACGTGGCCAGAGATGAGAATAGTTTTTTCCTAATCTCTCTTTTCGCGTTTTACTTTTTTATTAAAAGATAATTGATTATGAGAAAATCTTTAATATACTTGATCCTAGATGGATTTCGTATTATTAAGAACTCATTGATTTATATTCTGTAACTATGGTGCACAAGTTATGGAAAGTGAAGTAAAAATTATGTACCACACTGTGATTGACTCTGGTCTAAAAGTGATCAGTTGGATGGATCTATCATAATTTTAACTATTTTTGTGCATTCCACATTAGATAGTTAAACTTCTGTCGAATGCGTTAGTTTATATTAAACTACGGCATTGGTAAAAATACAAGATATTTTTGTCTAAAATGATGAACCAAAGAAAGTCGCATTATGAAAATCCTGTGTTATACATAGCAGCATTTATGTAACATTTTCTTCATTTTCTGAAACGTTTGCTTATCGTTTTTTTAATTAGATATTACAAAATACAGACCAAGAGAATCAAATGCTATATTTTTATGTAATATATTCTATTTAAACGAGATATCTTACTTATATCCAGCAGATCTCAGTAGTTTCTATTTGTAATCACATTGTTATAGTTGCATTTAAAGTGCGATATGATAGAAATGAATCTCGTTTGTACATATGCATTATACGTTTGTTCGTTTACGTAGAATTGATGTAAAGATGTTAACAATTCTATGAATAATCTTTGTTTCGATGAAAGGCATTCTTTCTATTAAAATTATAATGTTTATTGCTATGTATAAAAGAAAACACCTTACCAACATAATTGTATCCTACGTGCATGTACGTACTGTCATTAATGTTGGGTAAACGGTTCTACTTAGAAGTTTAGCATTATTCTTTCTTCTTTTTTATTCATATTTGCTTAGTGGCAGTAAAATAAAAGATTAATCATAATCTCTAAATTGCATTCTAATAAAGTTATTTGTATTTTATATGGCTATTATTGATCTACTATCATTGAAATATACGTGAGTACCTAAAAACTTCGAGCGGAGTGTTTGATAAGGAGACACGGTTCTTCTTTTGAAAAATTGTACTAATTAAATTTTCAACATATTTTAACATTATTTTTAATCCAACATATAAGATTTAAATTTGGCTTTCGAAATCGGAGTTTTAGAAAATCTTGAAAAATTATTTAAGTTTCACATACCTTAGAAAATCATAGAAATATTTGGTTACGTGAAATGTTAAAATTCGTATAAATACAATTATCTGTGTATAAAATAAAGGAGTAGATAGAAATAATAATACAGAATGTTATCAAAGAAAAATATATATTTTCGAGATGTTCGTGACTTTCGAAAATATTTCGGTTTTACACAGCATTTGAAATGATTCGAGCTTTGTCATGTATTACGAGTGATTTGATGTGGCACTAGATATAACTTTCCTGCTATAAATGTGTACACAACACGTACCCGTATATTTCGTAAACAATGCAAACTATCATGCCAGTTTACAAAAACTAGCTACTTCTACGAAATTACTTGATATACCACGAGTCGTGTGGAATGCATAATTACTCAGTCAACATTATCGTGATTGTAGTATTTATGTCCATAATGCATCCATAATGCTAAACTTCGAAACATTATTGCGATCTTTATATATACAGGGTTGGAAAAGTTACTTTATAAAAGTATCTAGTTACAGTTTTTTCGCTAAAAATGTAACTAGTTACAGTTACGAGTTACCAATTCTGAAAAGTAACGCGTTAGTTATACAGTTACAGTTACTAAAAAAGTAACGAATCATTACTTTGTAATTACTTTCTTGCAATGAAAATAAAAATATCTGTGTTTGAATTATAAAGTGTCGAAAAAAGTGTTTATGTGCAAATCTGTAGAGGTTTAAAATATATATAAAGTAACTATTAATGTAACTATTAAATCAGTTACTAGTTATCGAAGAAATGTAACTGAGTTAAGTTACAGTTACAGATGGAGAGAAAGTAACAAAGTTAAGTTGGAGTTACCAAAAAAAAGTAACTGTAACTGTAACTTCGTTACAAGTAACGAGTTACTTCCCAACCCTGTGTGTACATGTACAGAGATTGTGCCATTTTAATCTATCACTCCCTAAAACTTTTTTATTTTTGATCGAAGAGTAAACTGCTTTAGACAAAACATGCATTGCTCAAGATGTATCATGCGAACATTGTACGATCGAATTTACATCTCTGTTGTGCATACGAACATGACAGAAGTGTAAATCGGACCGTGCAACCTCGATACGGTAACACTTTTGGATAATGGTAATGTTGGTGGTACTGTAACTTATTTCGAGCCTCACAATTTGCGAAGTACTTAATAAAAATATATTATGATGTTTTGAAAACGTCTCGACGAGATCTACAACTTTTATTTTAAAGAGAAATCAAGTTTTATTTAAGTAATTAGTTGCTTTCTAAATTCCTTGCAAAATTCCTTCCAAAATAGCAACGTCTACAACATGACGCTTGTTTTCTATTGCTGCACTGGTGAAGTGCAATAAATTAGAGTAAGACAAGTTTTTTTTTCATTCTAGCTTACTGCACTAGTTTATCAGTTTTCCAAAACGAACCTATGATTCATATCGCAATTATGTGTTCCCCTTCAAATAACTTTTGTCTAAAGGCATTTTTTCTCTAATCATAAATAAAAAAACAATATAGGAAACCAATGATCGACACAACTTGCAAATTTTAATTAAAGAAATTCATAGCGAAAAATAATACCTCAGCCAGGGTTTGAACCTGGGCGTCTCGAGACGCCTACCTAGTGAGGGAGGTCCAGATTCAAATCCTGGCTGAGGTAATATTTTTCGCAATGAATTTCTTTAATTAAAATTGGTCAGTTGTGTCGACTATTGGTATCCTACATTGTTAATTATATACTGGTGATAATAAAGTCTTTATTCTTGTTAAAAATGACAAAGTTTGTAGGGATGATAAATTAAAATAGGACATATAGTTTATGCACACAAGATATCCCAGTAAAGGCTAGCAATCTTTCGTGGACGTGCAGAAAGAAGTTGCTATAAAATTTTTCTTACAATGATTCTTTACCTTTTTTTTAGAAAGATGCGTAGTATTTAAAAACCTAAAAAATTAAAGAAAACCGACTTCAAAGTTTTGTAAATTAGAAGGGTCAAGAGGTCTTTTTTTACCGAAACATTCGAATATAGTTTTTACGCTTGTATGTTTTTTATTAGACTTCTGAATTGATTGTGTTTTAAGTATAAAAATGTTCTGCTATGCGGTCCACAACTTATCCAAGTATTATTTTATGCATAAAAGCCAATAAAAATATTTACAAGCGTAAAAAAACTATTCGAATGTGTTGGTAAAATATATAACTTTAGGATCCTCTTAAAGGTGGTGTGTTTCTGGTTTTCTGACGGTATCAAGAAATTTATTACATTGTTTTGAAGACCTTAAATATAAAAATCATTATTACAACTGATTAAAATCTAAATAATAGTTACAGGTTTGTTACCTACCTACTCTATACCTACGAAAGATTACCAGCTTTTACCAGAATACCGCGCGCGCGTGTGTGTATGTGTGTGTGTGAGAGAAAGAGAGAGAGAGAGAGAGAGAGG